CTTCGTTCTGTATTCTTTGAACATGAGATTACAGCATTATTGAACGTTGTGGATAACGTCAGCTAACGTTGTGGGAACGTTCTCCTTCCGGTTGGGCTGATTGTGGATAAGCACCTCGTTCAACCCATCTTTAGAAATCAGAACTGAACCTCTGAGGTTCTGCAGCTGCCTCGTGGTTTTATTAAACAGAGACGGGACGGTGTTGGTCCAGGTACGTGCGAGTGATCTTGAAATTGGTAGAAGTCGTGGATGTTCACAGCTCTGATAACGCTGAACAAACCTTGCGGGAGCTTACCAGCCAAAAATCTGATTGGAGAGCTCTTTGCGATTGAACAGAGGAGCGAACACGCTTCTGTTACTGAAACCTGAGCAGGCAGGAGTTGCCCGAACATGTTGCCGCTCCCTGGAGTTGCCAATCGGCTGCAACTAATCCAGCTTTTTGACAAGAAATAAACAGATTCTTCACGATTACTGTGTGCGTACACACATAAACACCGCGGTGGAGTCATAGATATCAGTGTGCAGGCGCCTGAATGCCATCAAGGTTATGCTGCTCTATTTTTCAGCACTACAGCTATGTTTCTGAGTAAAAGGGTATTTCTGAATGACTTGTTAGTGGTATGTTTAAATAAATACCTTGATTATACTCGTTTGGTTAAGATGTTTCTGTACATCACCAATCACCTGAATCTGACGTTAAAATTTAATGAGTGTAGGAAAATGAATTAACAACTTCTTTTTAAGGTGAAGACACTTTTTATTTTATTCCCCACACAACCAGGCCTGTTGCTCTTTTTCATGCACGCCACTTTACACGAGGGTCACTCTGTAACACATGTAGGAACTAAAGAAACCACAATGACCGAGCTGTTGCACGTACACAAAGACTGCTCGCTCCGTTTACAATCTCTGGTTACAACCTTGAAAGAATGTAAGAAGACTGACCCGCTGACAGTAACAGGCGTGTTGCATGAACTGTTGTGCTTGTAAATGCTTTCTATAATGTGCTTAATCTGAGTAAAACATGTGTGAGCAGCTGAGCTTTAATAATCCTCCTGAAGTGAACGGCAAAAGATCTTTTTTTTTGGTCATTTATCCAGAATCGTCGTGTCGAAGCAGGAAAAAAAACAACAAGGCAGTCCAAGTTGTCCAAATCTGCCTAGCAACCTCCTTCAGATCCTCCCGGGGGGATTCAAAGATGAGATGAGATCCCACATGCTTTCAATCTAATCTGGGGTCTCCCACCAGCAGGAAGTATCAGGAACATCCCAAACTACCCAACATGAAGAAGCACCGTCTCAACTGGTGTTTCCAAAAAAGACCTCCTGTTTTATTTCAACTCCACCGTCTGAAATAATTTTGTTTCAGATTCAGTTGAAACAGTCCACTTTTCCTCCTTCCTTTTCTCAAGAACTAATTTGTTTAGAAGTATTTTACTTTTTTCCCACTGCAGTTTTACTTTCTCTACTCAAGGACCGTTGAAAATAATTTAACAAGCCATTACAGAAAAGCCATTGGGCAACCTTCACCGGCACAATGCCGCAACAAGTTAGACGAGGTTGCAGTTAGGCTAAAATAATATGGAGTTATATTTAGAGTGTTACACATAGATTGATTTTTCTTTTCTCTTACTTAGTCTTCATGAAGACCAAAAGGGTAAACTATAGAATAAGCTATTGCTGGTTTATATTGGCAAATAATAAAGCCTACTTTCTTCTCAGCTTTATGTAAATATAGCAAAACTTGCGTAATGTTTTCACACAAGCACATTTTCTGGCTCTAGACGGACGTAATAAGATGTAAAGCATACATTATGAATTTAGATCCTACACAGCTGTACATGCTCAGCGTTTAGGTGTGACTCCCCGTCCACACCACCCTCGTCCAGTTCCTCTGGAAAAGCCACAGCCTTTCATTCAGAGAAAAAGAAAAGAGCCACCTCTCGTTGTTTTTCCCCCAAACACACACAAACAACACAAATCCAGCTGTTTGAAGTTGAGCGGCACCTTCCTGGTCGCCGTCTCCTGCTTTCTCAGTTCGTCATATTCAGTTTAACTTTAGGGGTTTTTTTCGGGGGGGAATCTGCTCAACGAAAGGCATGTAAAAACTCTGATTTCCATTGTGCTGGGTGGAGGCAGTCAAGCTCTTGTGTCCATAGTGCTTAACCAGTGGACCGATGGCAAACGACACAGTAATCACCTTACAGTGTTCCTGGTGTTCCAGGGAGAAAGAAGGCCTGCTCACCACAGGGAAGCTCCACACAGCTAATCCTTCGGCACATCTCTCTCTTTCTTTCTTCCTCTTCTCTCCTCCATGTTTTCTTCTTCTTCTTCTTCTTCTCTCCAATATCTGTGGAGGAATCATTCGGTATAACCTTGTTTCGTTTATCCTCTTACCCAAAAATAACCCGAAGCCGCCCCAACTCCCATCAGGTATACAGTATCTTATTTAAGGTGTGATGACAGTCTATAAATACCCTGGAAGTCTCAAAGCCTACTCGTGCCGAAGTGAAATTCCTCACAGGGCACAAAGCTACTATATTTTTTTTAAAACATATTGACTGGCTGTCAGACCAGGAACGAGCTTCTGGTGGTGTTTTTAAAGGTGCTGTCTGGAATGTGTCCAGTTTGGTGCTTTTTATTTTCAAAGTTCTGCTCATGATTCACTGTGTAAATGATGTTATTTTTTATTAACGATGGTGTACTCACGCCGGTTTAATGTGCAGAGATGACATTACTGAAAAGAAGTCTGGTGGGGAATGAAACAGATAAACCTCCAGGTTAGCCAAACGATAAACTTATCACTAAAGCTGTCCTCGATCAGCTGGCTATTAGTTTACAGAAATACTTACTTAGTCTTTAACCAACCATTTTTGAACCGCTCCCTTTTAATTTAACTATTTAAATATTGTCACTGATAGAAAAAAAAAGACTTAATGTGAGAGAAATAAGGTTCAAGCTGTAAAAAAATAAGAAACTCCAAAACAACAACAAAAACAAAAAACCACACAGTGATTAAATTATATTTGTCTACCCAACATTTGACCGTAAACTCAGATTGGAAACACATCAGCTTGATTGGATAAAGTTAAACATGATTATGTTCTACTTTAATGACAATTCCTAATCTTAAATGACTTGTGATATTGTGATTATTAATATTTTTTGGATTGTAATGTTTTATCTTAGGGTCTATCGCTGAGCTCATCACATACACCAGTAGATGTGGAACTTCCTCTTCTACTGATTTACAGCTGATGATTGGAAAAGTGTCCAACATCTAAATTTATAATATCTATATATCTATATTCATAATAATGTCTGATTTTTAGATTTATTTCTGTATTTATTTTTGTTTAAACCTCTATTTTGCCACTCTCTCCTGACAGAAACAGAGCACAATGGAAAATCAAGCCCAAACTATGCAGATTATGACGGTTTCACATGTAAACGTTTTGCTGTTTAAAACATTTCTTTTCTTAAGTTTCCTTATCAAGAGAGACCTGAGAACACAAATGAATGTACGACGTTCAATATCAATTTATCTATTAGTAAGTTAAAGTAGTAATAGTAAGTTTGTAAAAGCTCAAATTCAGACTATAGATTGAGAAAGTAATTTGTAAATTCAGTCATAGTTTTACAGAGAACCCAAATGCAGACGAAAGGAAGCAGAGAAACAGGGGAAGCTAACAAGACACTGGGCTAGGATAGCAGGCCGATGCTGAGCTAATGCCACAAGAGGCTAATAATTATCGTAGAAGGTAAAGTGCTAGCAGAAAATACTCAGAGCTATGAGCTAACAATACAAGCAGGTATAGCTAGCAAAGAAGGTCAGATGAGAGGCTAGGCTAGAGCTAGCAGTAAAGAAGTTTATTTACGATAAGTGAAGTTATAAGTGACAATATAAACAGTGGCTGGGGGAAAATGCTGCTAACCAGGAAGGGAAGAAAGTGGGGAAAGCTAACAAGCAGGCTAACAAGACATTAGGCTAGGCTAAAGCTAGCAGTAAAGAAGTTTGTTTACAACAAGTAAATTCAAAAGCGACAATAAAAACAGCTGCTGGGGGGAAATTAGAACGAGGCAAATGTTGCGAACAAGAAAGGGAAGAAAGTGGGGAAAGCTAACAAGCAGGCTAACAAGACATTAGGCTAGGCTAAAGCTAGTAGTAAAGAAGTTTATTTAGAATAAGTGAATTTATAAGTGACAATATAAACAGTGGCTGGGGGAAAATGTTGCTAACCAGGAAGGGAAGAATGTGGGGACAGCTAACACGCAGGCTAACGCTAAAGCTAGCAGTAAAGAAGTTTATTTTCAACAAGTGAATTCAAAAGCGACAATAAAAACA